TATATATATATATATATATATATATATATATGAAAAGAAAGTTTGCTAAAATATCTAAAAATTTAATAAGGTAAATAGATTTAAAAATAATTTTGTTGGACCATTAAAATAATCATGTGGAAATCTCATGATGAGCAATAATGCTGCAAAAAGTTTTGACATTCTAGCAATCAGCAGTTTGAGCTAATATAATTATTTTGATGGTCGAACAAAATTATTTTTAGATCTGGGTGTATCTAGTTAAATTTTTTAATATCTCAGCAAAATCGTTTTTCTTTTCCTTACGTGTGACACATTTAGTTTTAACAAAATTGAGCTACAGAGCTGGTACAGAATTAATTATCAAAGCCGGAAAATTGGATATTAAATGGTGTGTGACATTTCATACGCCACTTTGTAAATCTCCAAGAGACTAATTGTAAATATTCATTATTTTCACACCATTAACTCGATAAATATATTTATATATTACATTAGTTTTCGATATAATTCTTTCACGCAATTCTGTCTATATAAGCCTCAACAAAATAAAAGAAACATGCGACTCACCGATACGATGCATAGTGGCCAAGTGTGATTATTACGTCGAAACTGTGTAAAAACAGAAACACAATGTGAAATTATAACAGCATTCAGAGGAATTGGCATCTAAGAATAATTATCATGTAAAGTATTAATCATGTAAATAATTAGTCCCGTGGAACTGTCAAATGAGAGATAAAAGATAATAATTTACTCACTCCACAGTTGCTCCGCCGCACAGTAGGCATAAAGTCGTTTTTTGTGATAAAAAATCACTCGACGGCTGAATTCTCAACCGATTACAATGATTTTTTTTTTAAATACGCGTTATTTACTGTACTATAACGGAGAATTTTTTGTTAATTGACAAATTGCAATATCGAAAAACGTGCAATTCTCCGTTATAGTACAGTAAATAACGCGTATTTTAAAAAAAAATCATTGTAATCGGTTGAGAATTCAGCCGTCGAGTGATTTTTTTCACGAAAAACGACTTTATGCCCACTGTGCGCCGTTGCCCGATGCTTCCAGACCTACTGATTCTCAATTCTTTCAACTTCCTTTACCGCATATAGATACAGACACACACTCGCAAACACTCGATTAATTACAATCGTCCATATTATTACGATAGAGTACACTTTACATGGAACTCCCGATCTTAATCGCGCGCAACACACTGTACTTTCGAAAGCAAAGACGCCGCTCTCGAGGTGTAGCGAGTGTGAACTACACTTACACCCTCTCTATTCTCTTTAGGTCTGTTCGCATTGATTGCACTTTTTGCATTCACAATCAAAATCTTCGCTGCCCGAATTCCGAATATAATCGTGTTCGAATATAAGATTATGGCACACAGAAAAAGCAAATCAATGTTTTTTGGATTTGCTACAGTTTACATTATTGCCTTACGGTCTCTATGATGAGCCGACTTATGCTTACGTTTTTTTGTATGCCACAAGCCTACCAGTACTGAAAATTTAGTTCACGGTGTTACGTATACTATTTTCAATACTAACAGTGTATATCCTAATACGTCCTATATATTTATATATCTCATTTTAAGTAACGGTAAATACATACCTAGTTTAGGTAATATCTCACCGATTTTAGTCCTTTAGATATGTTGTAGGTCTAGAGTCCTAGATTTATCAGAGGCGCAACCGGCTTAAGTCAGTATGACAAAGGTACTAGGAAGGGTACTAAACATGGCTGACATGCTATGAAACTGCCTTTAAACTGTCAAACAAGATAAGACAAAGTAATATAAAATTATATTTAAATGAATCGTATCAATTCTTTAGAGGGAATATTTATGTATTAATAAGTCAGTTGATTAATTGTCATTATAATCGCTTTTGCATATCACCATAACTTCTTAATTTGCACTGCTGTTAACGGAGTAAAACTTTACTCGATGGTAAAGATTCTCGATAAAATTATTCCTGAAATTAAAAAAAATATTATTGCATTATTCAGATAAATAATTCTATATGATACGTAGAAGAATTTTCATATGGTTTAATCTATGGAGTATTCCAACTGTTTGAAATGAAGTAATTTTAAAGTCATTTGTGATTGCTTGTTTGTAAATTAAAACAGAAATGTTTGAAGATAAGATATTGTATAATTGCAGGTACGATTGCAGTATTATGTTCTTACATTCAAGAAACGTTGAAAAAAATGATAATTGTAAAGCATATATATCTACTGTTAACGAATAAGTAATTAGGCTTTCTGTATAATATCAGTAATCACAATTTAGTCAGCATGGATCTGCATTGTTCAAGAGCAAGAATGAGATAGAGTGAGATAGAATGTATAGGATAAAATGAAATAGAAATATATCACTAGTACTATAAATGGTTGCCAAGTCATGTGATTGCAACAGCGAAACAAAATGCGTAACACCGGTTGCGCCTCTCTGATAAATCTAGGACTCTAGTAGGGGAGAGTGTTCTGAGTGATTCCCTTTTAAGGGGATCCTAAAGCAAAGCTCAAACAAAGTCAGGTCTAGGTGTCACTGTTTTTTCATCGGATCTAAAGTCACTAGATAACAAAGTACCGCGATGAGAAAATTGAAGTGACATATCTTTGGAGCCAAAAGGCCGCGGTCCGATTTACGCTTATAGCATTATTAGTGCGTTCACGGTTGCTTACGGTTGGTCCGTTTCATGCTTGCAGCGCCAGTGTGAACATAGTGACGTCATAGTTACGTAGCACTTATGGTGCTTTGAGTGCCCCTAGATGAAAGGTGAGTCACCGTGAGCATCATGGTTACGTGACGTCAGAAATGCGGGAAAAATAACGGTTTCGAACATTTTAGAAAGAAAAGGCAAGCTGAACACGACGACAAGACGTAATATTCAGTTGCAAGTAGTTACACAAACGTGTTACATAGTGCTAAATTCACAATTACAAGAAGAAATAATAATCTCAAATAAAGTATAATAAAGTTTGGAATTTTTTTTACGATGTCAGATCAGTTAATTTCAGTTCCTGTTTTTGTAGAAGATACTGGCGAAACGATTATTTTGAAACTTTTATTACAAGACGCTGCAAAGATCACTAAAGGTAAAAAGATTAATGAATTTTTGTATTATGTAATTATATTATAATCAGCTATAATATTGTTGATCAAAAGGAAATAACCTTTCGTTAACTACATTTTTGAGGTTAACTTTTTATTATTTTCAGATATAAATTATATGACAAGTCTCATTAAGAATGTATATAAAAAAAGGAACAAAAATTTGATCAATCAAGAAAGTGTTCAAATTCCCATTGATAAGAGTAACGAGGTACAAGAATTTGATGATGACCCTAATGATCAAAGTGAGTATAACTACACGAGAACATAACGGCTCCTATAATTTTTATACTGTTCATCAAAATTTCATTCATGAATATCTTTGATAATTGTGCTTATGACCGATCCAAAATAGAAGAACTTTAACACGCTATTTGTTTCGGACCGACCATTAATGTTGTAAGCACTGATAGAACTGTGAGCGTGAATCGGACCACGGCCATAGAGGACCGTTCCATTTCAATCAATGCGCGCATCAATACCGATAACGCACATATTTCCCTAGATTCTCCCCACTTTTCATGCATCAACCACAGTAGCTCAAATGTGAAACGTTTAATGCGAAGTTGATACGTCTAAAAAAAATTCAAAAGCCTGTTGCCGCCTTTTGCTCGGATTTATAGTGTAATAATAATGGAAAGTGATTTAATCGAATTTCCAGTCATCATTAATGAGAGTAACAAAGTTCTCACCCTCTTTATCAACCAAGAAACTGCTATGACAGGGCTATTCAAGATATCTATTAAAATATATACAATCTTGTATTGTATATAATAACCTCAACAGTAAACATCTTAGGCTCAGTTTCACAACTCAAAGTTGATTCTTAACAGAGGTTCAACTTATTTCTCATCTCTTTCGAATTCTAGCATTAGAAAGAGATGAGGAATAAATTAAACCTCGGTTAAGAGTTAACCATGAATTGTGAAACTGGGCCTTATGCCTGTTTCTATCAGTGTAGTTTAATTTTAATCTTAGTTTAACTTACTTTTTATCGTTTTCTAGTTCTAAGAATTAGAAAAAGATATAGAATAAATTATACCAAAATTAAAGTTAATCTACGTTGGTAGAAATGCACATTATTGTCGTCCATGGTAGCATCCATTTTTGATTTGCAAACGCATAGTAAACCGTTCCGATTCCAAGCGCACATGATGCGCATTAACGAAACGGAACGATATTAATGTACGCACATTGAATGTGATCTATGCACTCAATGCGTGCAACGGAACGCACCCTTTATATATTACCACACCAATATCTCACGCAACTTACGATACATGCAATTGCACGTTCATGTCAATTTTCGTATAACAAATTCGTCGCAATAAAGCGTCTAAGTCTAATTCTAAGAACTTGACGTTATTTGTTCGTGTGCAAACTACATGTTTGTGGATCACTATTTCGTAAGTACAGTTTGTAAAACTTTCGTATCAAGCAAATGTTGTCACGACTTGACAGCTTGAGACATCATGTTACGCAAAAAAATGGTAAAAAATATCTATATCAATTTTGAAATTTTTCGTCGTTCTTGGCATAAACTCCGCCTCACAAACACGTATTAATGCATATATACTTTAATCCTGGAAAAGGATTTTCGAATCTATGAAAGAGAAAAAAGTATTTTGGGATGTTGGAGTGACCAAATTATCACATTACAGTCGTATAAAAATCTTCGAATTAACTGAACGGAATAAAAAATCCTTTTACAGAATTAAAGTAGACGCAAAATTAAGAGGTGGTGCAGTGGACCTTGTCGAAAAAAAGTTAAAAAATTTTTTAACATTCTTTCGATTTTAATATAAAATCCACTGCACCACCTCCTAATTTTGCGTCTACTTTAATCCTGTAAAAGAATTTTTTATTTCGTTCAGTCAATTTGAAGATTTTTATACGAATGTAATGTGATAATTTGGTCACTCTAGCATCCCCTTAACAGCTTTCAATATGCGATCAACATTGGTGTAAGAGTATACTTTCACCCACCTTCCTCTCTCCTGCTTCGGGACGCACAACTTTCACACGAAGCGACTCCCACCCCACCTCCTCCCCTGTTTGGGGGCGCACGACTTCTATGCGAAGCGATTCTCACCTCACCTCCCTCTGCTTCGAGGCGCACGACTTTCCGAGATTTACTTACCATATTTCTTTGGAAAGTCGTGCGCCCCGAAGGCGGGGAGGTGGGGTGGGAGTCGCTTCGCGTGGAAAGTCGTATGCTATGACTTTATTATAAAACTTTAATTTATTATATCTTCTAAACCAACGCCGTCCCCCACTTAATTCTTGCGAGGAATCACTTAGGACACTCTCCCCTACAACATATCTAAAGGACATTGAAATTGGCGAGATGTCACCTAAACTAGATATTTATCTAAGTAACAATTTTTGAGAATTTCAAATAATGCGAACGAACTTCTTCTCTCTTTCTTCTTTAACGGCCAAGCGACCAGCCAATCATCAAAAAAAAAAGTACAGCGAGATTTATAGAAGAAGAGCAGCTCACTTCATTCGAATCGGACAGTATTTTTGTTTCCCGTTCGCGACGGAGGTTACGGTCTACTTGATGCTAAAAATGCCTCGAAGCATTCTTTGATTGGTCAATTAGTAAAATTCTTTCTTCCGATTGGTCAATCAAACGCTTCGAAGCATTTGTAACGCCAAGTGGACCGCACCCAAAGTCACGATGCCGCTTGACTTCGAACTGCGATCGCAAATGGAATAATATGAAAAGAACACAAAGCTCGACCAGCTTGGTGTATGTATACGAATCTCGTAAACATATAAAGAACGATTGACAGTATTGATACAATGAGAGACGAGGAATCTCAATGAAGGACTCTAAAATTTGAATTGTGAACATGACCGCACATTTGTAAGTAAAATTCATGTTGCGCAATTTACAAGTATCAAAATACGGTTGTAATTTTAGTCGTAATTATGCATTAATTGAACGCATCACCACGGACGCCGCTTGACTCGCAGCTCCATTTTACGTTATATCAAAAAAATTCCAAAGTGGCATTTGCATTTTAATACCATGTGACATAGGATAATGATTTAAAATCGAATTAAAATAATTATAATTAGTTAAAATAAGTCATTGGAAAATGTGCAATTGAATTTCAGTATCGCGTGATACATATATATAGAGGAGAGTGGTCTAAATCGGACCTATTTGCAGTTTTTGCTCTCTATAAGGCGTAAATAAAGTCCGATCGTAAAATCGAAGATGCCATTGGAAAGATCATTTAATTCCCTTCATTTTTGCTTTAGACCATTTTGACGTATTTCTCACCTGTGTTGAACTATAATGGAAAATGTAAAAACGCTTTTTCCGGTCCGATTTGGAACCATCGGTTTTAAATCGGACCATCCCCTGGTTCAAATCGAAAACTCCTATTTTTATCGATTTTTAATTAGAATTTTAAAATATTTTAATGTATTTTTCTTAGTATTGAGTAAAAACGAGCAATTTTACAGTCGAAGATAAAAATTTTATTCAGAAAAAGAAAATTATTGACAATTTATATTATTAGAATTGAAATCAATAAAAATTAATTAATCTGAGTCTGATATGTGTGATTCATGATATTTTATTGATTTAATTCCTTGGACTAGATTTGGTCGGCCGATCAGTACTACAACCAGGCCTATAAGTTATCCACTGTACTATCCGATTTGGACACGGGTCCTTTCGAATTTTGGAACAAATTTTACAATAAACCGCAAAAGTGATCACAAAATGCTTGATATTTTTTAAATCTACACTCTTTAATTATCTTAAATCAATTATTTTTCAAATTTTTAACGTCTTTTAAATATTAATTTACAAGGATTTTCTTTTTTAAAAAAATTTTCACACGATGGCTGAAAATACATATTTGCATCTATTTTTTATGAATGTTATGACAAAGAACTGCCAAACTGTTATCACATGTTCGGTGTCTTATAAGGACTTTACATTATAAATAGTACTCAAATCTGCTCAACCGTATTCATTTAAATTAAAAAGGTCCTATTTGGAAAACGATCCGATTTAGACCACTCTCCCCTATATATTATATATATATATATATATATTCCAAATGTATAAACCCAACACAATGCGTCTAAAAAATGATCGATATATCACGGTTTGTTATTGTTACTTAAATTATTCGATTTGGCAATTATATATTACTTCTCATTTTCAATTTAAAAGCGGTAATTGTAGCAAATTAATTGGCGAAAAATGCAAAGAACATTCGACGCGGGTTAATAAAAAAATTTAACTTTAGTTAAAAGAACCATTGTCGTTTGGTACATTATAAGGTATATGTATATGCTACTGTAATAATTAATAATGAAACAATTCACATTTCTCACTCCTTACAATTTCGATTTCGTGAAGTGAAATATAATAAAACTACTCACCTCAATAAATGTCTTTATGATTGTTGATCGTGATCAATTAATTAACTGCGAGATTACAGTGACTAATTGCTCGTGGGAGATGATCGCGTTTCTCGATGCGTAAAGGTGGGGTCCCACGGCCCGTAGTTTGGCATGGCTTGCCATGGCTCGGCAAAGCTCTACGTGCCGTGGGACCAGGACGGTTCGCCATTGTTCGTGGCCCACGATACATCGTTTTCGGAGATTAACGGTAAGTTTCGTGAGCCAAAGAAGCCTCTGTGAATAGATAAGCCGATAAGACATCCTTGCGCTGTTGAATCATCAATGATCGCGTTCAGCAGAATGCTTATTTTGCAAATATTGAAAGTTTTCTTCGCTGATATAGGATTATAGAAGGTCTAAAAGTATAATTCAATCAGCACGAAAGAAACTTCTAACAATAACAAAACAAATATTCTATTGAACATAATTAATGCTTGCAAAAACCATTTCATATAAATTTTTTCATAATTATAGTGTTACGTCCAGTGGACTCCACGATTTCTTTGTTTCGCAAACGTTTGACGAAATTAAGATAAAATATGAGCAAAAACTCGAGCATTAATCGTCACCGATCGGTAAGCAAGCGCATGTCACGAATTTGAAGTACATATCCTTAAAAATCTTCCCAGCGATATAGAAAAATAAATAAAACAATATATTTATTTAGAGTCGCCTGATCCGTAGCAATAAAATTTACAGCATCAACGCGTGACTCAAACTATAAACCAAAAAGAGAAAATTCTGTCTAGATAATATTGGTTCGTTAATAAATACAGAGTCTGGACGCGGATCGGCGATAGGTGACAAATAGGCACTAACTTCACAAAAACAATCTAAGTATCAAGTCCAAGGGCGTTTTCTCGCCGACAATAGGAAGTTAGATAACGAAATATTCTTTTTCCTTTCTTTTCGAGATTAACGGTCATAAACAATACCTAACTCAAGCAAATACTGTCTAGACGAGGAATCGCACGCTCAACTAATAAAAGAGAAAACTGGCAATTGAAAAAAAGGAAATATAAAAACTCACGTAAGAACAACATGAATCACAACTAGATTGTTTGGAAGGGACGATAAGTTACATCCCCTCTCTCTCTTCGAAAACGCAGTAGATTAAACCTAAACTCGTCAATAGTGACTGCGAAATCGATATCCTCAGAGAAGGTGATGTCGCATCACCAGTAAGTTTTTAGGAAATTAAAATTTACAGTGCGGGCGAAGCAAATTTAGAAACAGTTCCCCAGTAACAATCTGAGAAACGAATTTTCCGTCAAAAGCGGAAAAATTTCGCCAATCCGAATCCTCAATTTTTCTACTTAACACATCCCATCAAGGAACCACTTTCCAAGAGTCTCCAATATTAACTGTGGCACCGCGAGACTCGTCATTTTTATTTTATCATTTATTTGTCATTTATTTTGTTATTGGTCATTTATTTTGTCATTGGTCATTTATTTTGTTATATCTCCTCATATATTTGATCATTTTATTTGTCATTATTTGTCATATATATGGTTTCGTCATGTATACAAAATTTCGTTAAATAGTTTCCGCTTCATAAAAATCTTAGAGTCTGTGCGCATCCTTTTAATCGAGTGATGAACATCACCATCTCATTAAGCTCCGACATGATGTGAACATTCTGACAGCAGAAAATTGTAAGTTTCATGAATTATTATTTATTTGTCCCCGAAATTAAACTAATTCGTTAAAGAGTAAATAATTCATTAGTTCAAATAATGTTCTTTTAAATATTCAAGAAATGTCATTAAAATCAACGGAACTTCCTTAATCCTTACTCATATCTCGTTCCCAAGATTCTTCTACAGCCTCTTCCTCTCTTCTTCCGTCGCACAATTAACGAATTAAATTAATTCTACCCATATCCCCCCTCTGCTTGCACACACATAAATTCACTCTCGCTCCATGACAACATTTTCTTACGGCATAAAAATGTAATTAATTTTTAGTTATTTTATTAACTTGTAATTTTTAGTTAGTTTAACCATCACTTGCTTAGTAGTAAACTATTATAGATTTAATGATTTCTTTTCTTTCAACTAATAATAATTTTATTATTAAATGATAAGTTATCCCTCTAATAATGGATTATATTTTTAATTAGCAAGTAGTAGCGTTCTTAATTATAAATCGTATCATGATCATGTAACTATTGTTTCTAATCTACAGTAATACAAAGAATGAGTGATTATTCGAAACTTGTTTCTTTATTATATAATTTCACATGCGCTTTTTTTTTGAGCTCTTAAATAAAAAGTAAAACGATTAAGTAGTACCCACACTATCAATCATGTATACGTACAACTCACATTCATGTAACTTTCATATATAGACAATAGATTGTTAATTAATAAACTTTAAATGTTAATTACTGTAATCTACATTTCTTTTTAATTCAATTTAGACTCTAAGACCTCGTAGCCATTTCCCTTGTTTTTCAGAGATAGCACGTGGTCCAGTCCCGAGTTATAAGGATTAAATTCCTTGACTCAAAATTTGAACCGACGATCGCACTGCTCGTTGGAAACAGGTGTTATAGCGTCCCTACGGGATGTTGACCCATATTCCGGAGCAACAAAAAGTACATTCGACTCGAAGTACTCACCTCTGTGCGGGTACCTGCGAGACAAGAGTCTAAGCGTCCTTTCACACCCTCACCATTTTCGTTCTTTCTCTCTCTAATCGAATCCTGAATTAAATTCCCAAGGGTTTGGACGTAACAATAGAAACTCGACAATTTTTTTATCATCCTACTCCATACTGTGACTTGAATGATTAAAAAGTCACTTAATAAATGTCTCAACTAGCAATAATAAACAGGCTCTTACATATTTATATGCAAGCAAAGAGAAATTGGATGGTGTAACGATGCACGGCAGTAATTATTTCTAGTCAATGCGCGAGCCCTAGCGTGCTTTTTTCTAGTGTAACTTACCGACAAATTTGACGAGCCAATGAGCCGCGAATCACGAATCGCGAACCATGGCGAGCAATAGCGAGCCACCCTATTCCTACGATGCGTAAGACCGGAATCAGACTACACATTGACGATTGAGATTGAAGATAGAAAAATTCAAATTTGACCAATCGAAACGAAAGGAGGTAAAATTTCTTTGTCCTTATTGGTTTGGTCCAAATTTTAATCTTCAATTTTCAACCTCAATCTTCAAATCAAACTAACAAAGACTCCTTATAAATCAAAAGAAATTGGAAAAAATAAGGGCAATAGGAGTCAGGCGCAGAAAACGTCGAGTAAATAATACACCCATATATATATATATATATAAATATACAGGGTGTTTCCAAATTAAATG